GAACACCATGGACTAGAGGAAGGTTCAATAACACCATCCTTCACCATTCCTTCAATCATGGTTTCCACTTCCTTTTCTCGTGCTACCGGCAATCTTCTTGGCCGCTGACAGATAGGCAATTCCTCTCCTGTGTTTATTTTGTGTTGAACTAGGCCAGTCTTTCCTATGTCAGCATCATTTGATGAGAATACATCGGCGTACTTGAGTAACAACTTCTTCGCCTTGACCAATTCGTTCGGGGACAGAACACTGCGACAGTCTTCCAAAAGTGTGGTCACTCTCGTTTCTGAATCCTTGCTGGGGGTCCCACTCGATATATATTGGCACTGACGTAACCAATCCACTTCCTCACAAGTACCAACCAGTGTGCCTTTTTCTATAATCTGTTCCCGGTCGCAAAGGTTCAGCACACGTACTCCTGAGATGTCAGTGGTCCTGACCAAGGTTCGAGCTACTTTCCATGGAAGGTCATCGTTTACCCCTTCCACAAGTACACAACGGTGAGCTTGCCCAGCGTTTCGAGGAAGACTAACCGGAACAATCGTTTCCGATCTCGGCGGAAGAACAATCTTCTTGATGCTGTACACGTTCCCTGGTAACGCACCTTCCATAAAAAGTTCCTCCTGTCCACATTTCAAAACACCTTGCTTAACGTCGATCTCGCAACAATTATTCCTCATAAAGTCTAAGCCTAGGATGCAGTCGTCCATTATATCAGCCACGATGACATTATGCAGGTAGATCACGTTGCCTAGCTTCAACTCCATCTCCTTCTCTCCACGGACGGGTATACGCTGACCGGTGGCTGTTACCAAATTAAGGCGTTCTCGGTTGTATGCGGAGTCCCCAAGGAACTGACTTATAAGTTGGGAACTAACAACCGTACGAGAGGCTCCAGTGTCTATGGTCAGCTTACACGGCATTCCGTTGATCTCGCCCTTTATGATTAGGCTGTTCCCATCATGGGTTTGTGAGATCGAGATCCTTGGGGCTCTTTTAACATCAGCCAGCACCCGCCCCGCAGTTCTGGCTTTTACTCGTTTCCCTGCCGCTGCTGGGCGGTGCTGTTGGCCGCACTACCCTCCTGAGATCGTTCAATTTCCCTTTCTAGGGTTCGCTTAGGGCAGCTGGATCGAAGATGGCCCTTTTCCCCACAGCCATAGCACCTTGGGCTATATCCTTTGTTGCGGTCGCGAACTGTAGCTGCTGCAACCTCCCTGACGCGATGGGAACGATGATCCTGCCGCACGGCTTCCACTTCCAGTGCATGGGCCAAGGCGTCCTTAAGCGTCTCGTGGTGCCCGAGCCTCACAGCAGCTCTGACTTCCAGGTCGCGGATGCCGTCGATGAATGTCTGCACCAGGTTCCCTTCAATGAGCGCAGGTACAGACCGGTATGCTTTTCGCACCAGCTTCTCCACTTCTAGAGCCCACTGCTGCAGGTTTTCGTTGATGCGCTGCACACGATCTTTAAGCTGCGCACGAAAGACGTGTTCCAGGTGAGCGTCGCCATATCTCGCCTCCAATGCCTCAAGGAGTTGCTCATAAGTCACGTCCTCACCGAGAGCTTCCAGAACTGTTAAGGCCTGGTCGCGCAGGCCTAGTGTGAGAGCAGTCATGGCCTGACTTTTATTCCAGCCGTTCGCCTTCATAACAGCCTCGAACTGGATTTTGTAGGCTGACCAGGAAGAAGTCCCGTCGAATGGTGGCACCTTGAACCCACGTAGCGAAGGTGTAATAGCTACTACGGGAGCTGTAGTTCCATCCCCCAGTTTGAGGTCGTCCAGCGTTTTCTTCACGTCAGCCATCACGTAATCAACCCGATTGTTTACTTGGTCGATTTGGGTTTTAGCTTCCTTGATTTGGGTTTCAGCTTCCGACAGGCGGTTGTCATGCTGAGCAACCCTATCCTTCACCTCCTTTATCTCCTTCCCGAAGGTAGCGTGAAGGTCCTTCATGAGGAGCATCTGCTCTTCCAACCGACGGGCCTGTTCCTCCTGTCCGTCCCGCAGCTGCTCTTCCAATCGGCGTGCCTGTTCCGCCTGCTGGCGAGCCTGTTCCTCTCGTCCGCGCTGCAGCTGCTCCTGTAGCATGGCCATCAGAGCACCTAAGTCAGGTGCTGCAGATGTAGGAGCTACTGACGGGCCCGCAGTCTCCGTGGCTAGCTGTTGGCCCTCCGACGTCTGCGGCGTTGCACCACCAAACCTCCTCTGGTCCGTCTCCTGCTGGCGTTGACTTCGGGTACGGACACCCTCCGTTTCCTCCTTAGGTAAAATCGGCATGATTTAATCCCACTTCTGACACCAATTGTTACGAGCTTGAGGTTCGTGACAATAAAAATTGCCGATAAAATTACCTAAATTAACACTTTAATTTACTTTACACAAATTAAAGTTAAAACACTAATAATTAAACACACTAATTCACTTAATTCCGCCCGAAACTTCGCTTGTTACGCCCAAATCAACACTGCCTCGATCGCATCTTGCAGCGCCTATATATTTGAATTAGCAAAGAAATATCCAGAATGTTCAAGTAAACACGCGGAAGGTATCGAGCGTTCGAGTTTCGACTAGGCGCTGTCAGTTGAGCGATTTGTGATGTCATTTTCTCAATGCTCCCCTCGCTCTTGTTCCTGACACTAGATGGCGCTAATTGACTTATTCATGCAACATTATTTACAAATTCTGATCATCGTTTACATTCACGGTTTTTGGCAGCTTCCTCTTCCGCAACATCCACCGACAAAGGAAATTAAATGTTCGATCAAGAACCCATGGATTGCGATATGTCAAGCCAAGAATACGTGACACTGCAGAAGCTGGAAAGCTTAGGAGGATAAACTTAGCACTGAGGATACCAGCAGTAAAACCAGAGTGACCGACATCGCCGGCCGTCTCAGATCCGTAAGTCATCACTGGCAACACGTACTGGTTGAACAATCTAGTTTTTAGAGATTGAGATATACCTAACGAGAAGATATGTCGTAATTTCCCGAACGCTGCCCAGCCGAGTTGAATCCTTCGATTGACCTCTCGGTCGAAGTTGGACTTACCTAGTCGGACTATTTATCCCAGGTAAACGTACTCGTCAACAACTTCGAGCATAGTGCTCCCAACAACTACCGGCATAGGTGTGACATGGACATTAAACATGATCTTTGTTTTGTCCATGTTTATCTTAAGACCTATCCGTTGGGAGGCACTACCGAGGTCATTGAGCATAGTGCTTAAGTCCTCCAGCGATTCTGTAATAAGGACTATATCGTCGGCAAATAGAAGGTGAGTGATGTACTCGCCATTGATGTTAATACCGTATCATTTCCAGTCCAGTAGCTTGAAAACGTCTTCCAATGCAGCGGTGAAGAGTTTCGGGAATATAACGTCACCCTGTCTTACACCTCTCTGCAGTTGGATAGGTTTCGAGCTCTGGTTCTGTACTCGGATAGCCATCGTAGCCCTACTGTACAAACACTTCAGCACTTCTATATACCGACAGTCAACTTGGCACCGCTGAAGGGACTGTAGCACCGCCCAAATTTCGACGGAATCAAAGGCTTTCTCATAGTCCACATACGCCAGGCAAAGTGGCAGATTGTACTCTTCAGTCTTCTGTACAATCTGCCGCAGGGTATGTATGTGGTCTATGGTACTGAAGCCTTTTCGGAAACCGGCTTGTTCGGGAGGCTGGAAGGCGTCGAGTCTGCGTGCGAGACGATTCGTAATGACTCTCGAAAACAGCACGTAGACGCGGCTCAGAAGGGAAATCGGTCTGTAGTTCTTTAAGAGAGCGTTGTCGCCTTTCTTAAAGAACAAGAACACCGCACTTCTGCTCCACGCCTCTGGGGTAGTGCCACCATGGAGGACGGAATTGAAGAGCTTCTGAAGGACTTCAAGTACCGGTGTTCCACCCGCTTTCAGAAGCTCCGCTGTAATTCCATCCTCGCCTGCGGCCCTGCCGTTTTTAAGGTGCTGGAGAGCCATTCTAATCTCGCTTAGACTGACGTCCGGGATATCATCGGAATAGTGTCGGATAAGACTTGCTCTTGGATCATTACTCACACTTGCGTGTGGCTCCAACGATAATGTAATGTAATGCTACACATAGAACATCTCAATCTCACTCAAAATCTCAGGTGTCCCGGAAACGATGCTGCCACACTCAGTCCCGTGGGTGTCGTAAAAGGGGACAGAGGGAAACAGGCAGGAGATGGGCAGCAGCATCTTCCCGATAACAGCAACTGTACGACAAAAAAAAACTGCGGTTGCCAACCCGCTTGCCAAGCTTGGCAACTATGGCAATATACCCCCACAATTTGTGAACAATTACACAAATAGACGGCCCCCAGTCCCCGGCTGCCCCGCTTTTCCTGGCTACGGTGGCGACCATTGTAACGGCGGGGCAGGGGGTGCTAAGAATCTCCGGTGGAGGTTCGGTTGCCACCTACGACGACTCGACCTGGCAACATTTAACGCACGCATCCTGAGGACTGACGAGAAGATCCTGGAGCTGGAAAAAGAAATAGACAAGTTGCACTGGAATATTATAGGATTATCTGGGGTCCGAAGAGAGAGGGAGTATACGGTGATTCTCGAATCCGGCAACTTGTTCTATCACCGGGAGGGTGACCATCTGTCCCAAGGAGGTGTCGGATTTATGGTCCACAAGTCTCTCGTCAACAACGTTGTAAATATTGGGAGTGTGTCGACGAGGGTCGCGTCTATTCACAACAACATTATTATATACATATAAATAAGATTTGTTAGTTTTATAAATAAGTTTAAACAGTGCCCTTATTATGACTTGAGTTTTACTGATTAGATTTTGATGTAGTTTTCATTAAGCGTTATGGTCAATTTTGGTAATTATAGAATAACCGCATTATTAATGGTATGAGTAATAAATACTGAAGTCATGTTAAAAAGAGTTTTATGCATAATGGTATTCTGAAATTGACTTCATAGTGGTACAATTGTATGAATTTATCCTTGTAATTGTACTATGCAGGATATACATTCAGACACTGAAGAAGAGCCCCCGAAGGAAGCGGCTATGGTGGACGCGTTTACACCGACGGCGAGTCACGATGGGGCGACTGTCGTCACTTCAATGGCGACGGACGCGTCATCAATACCAACAGCATCTCGCGTTGGTCAAATTGCGGTAGACGCGTTGATGATGCCAGCGGCAAATAGGGATCTGGCGACGATCAGTTGCAGTCGTGAACACATCGTGGCCTCAACCCCTGAACAGAGACTGGAGGACGGCGTGGAGCGCAACACTCCGCGCCTCGAGCGCCGCAACGCGCGTCGAGCAACGCCCCGTACGCTCGTGCCGCCAGCCGATTCAGCCACCCCACAAGAAGATGCCATGATAGTGGCTTTAAGGGAGGGAGCCCAAGCACAGATGGCGCTCGCCAATGCGCAGACAGAGGCCGCTCGGTATCTTGGCGATTGCATAATGCGTGCCGCTACCATGTTCGTCGAAGCGATCAATAAAAATAAATAAACAATTTTTTCGAAATTAAGTTTTATATTTAGTAGTTTTATTAATTCTTAAATCTTTAATTAAAACACATCATGCAAAGTATTGTCTTGTGATGTTATTTCGAATATTTCTTGCCACATTTAAAAAATTCATATCCCTGGGAGGATCATCTGCTGGCCGCAATCTGTCTTCGAGTTCCAATTCATCTAGTAAAGGTTCATTTCTCTTAATTGCCACGTTATGGAGAACAACTACAGCTGCTATTATTTTAGATGCCTTCACGGAGTCATAATGCAACATCCTGTGCTTGTGAATGCATCTAAATCTTGTTTTCATCACTCCAAAACATTTTTCAATAAGAACCCTCGTTTTGGTATGCGCTAAGTTATATCTAGCCTCAGGTGTATTTTCATTCGCATCAGCATATGGGGTCATCAGCCAAGGCAGTTGGGCATATCCAGAGTCTCCTAGAAGCCATTCACCAGCTGAAACTCCGTTAACATAATTGGTTTCCAATAATTGGCTCAAACTGGATCCTTGCCAGACTGCTGCATCATGTGTTGATCCAGGAAAAGTGGCATTGAAATGAATTATTTCCATCTTTGCATTACATACAAATTGGCAATTAGGACTATAAAAGCCTTTGCGATTAAAAAATAATCTCGCTGGCACAAGTGCTGTGTCTTTGGGCGAACAATGGAGATTTGACTACAGTCTATCAAACCCAAGACTGAAGGAAACCCAGCTATCTGTAAAAACCTCTGTTTATTTTCTGCCCTTTCCTCTTCAGTCTCTGGAAATAGCACCATACCGTTCAATAAAACAGTTATAATTTCATCAGCAACTTCTTGTAAGCATTTGCTTTCAGATGGCTGACTTAAACCTAAATACTGCCCCTGCCCAACCATTGTTTGGTAGCCGCCATGTCCAAAGAAATGGAGTGAAGCCAAAACTTTGGTATGCACAGGAATTCCGTGCTGCCTTTGTCGATTTAAATTCTAGTGAAGACACTCCACTAAAAATGCGCAGTTCTTTTGGAGAGCCTGTATAATTTGGTAAAAACCTCTGCAGGCACGTCGAAAGGGTTGGAATGGTCCCGAATATGGCGATGCGCTATCCTTCTCGCAGTCCTACAACGAAAAAAATTAGGTTATGGTATGCAAGAAAAGCAGTTTCTATAATATTGTTACGCCTCAAGTCGACGATACACTAGCGCCATCTAGTGTCAGGAACGAGAGCGAGGGGAGCATTGAGAAAATGACATCACAAATCACTCAACAGTTCGCGACCGCAACAAAGGATACAGCCCTAGGTGCTATGGCTGTGGGGAAAAAGGCCATCTTCGAATCAGCTGCCCTAAGCGAACCGTGGAAAGGAGAGTTGATCGATCTCGAGAGGGTAGTGCAGCTAACGACACTGCCTGGCGGCGACAGGATCATCGTTCACCTCACGCTAGGGAGGTTACAGCAGTTACGGTTCGCGACCACAATAAAAGATACAGCCCTAGGTGCTATGGCTGTGGGGAAAGGGGCCATCTTCGGTCCAGCTGCCCTGAGCACACCCTACGAAGGGAAGGTGAACGGTCTCAGAAAGGAAGTGCGGCTAACAGCACCGCCCAGCAGCAGCAGGAATACGACTTTACTATCAGACACTGCAGCGGGAAATCTCACGGCAACGCAGATGCATTGTCAAGAAGACCTTGTCCTGAAGATTGCAACCATTGTAGTAGGCAAGAGAGTAAGGAGGTGGTATCCGTGAGGATGCTCAGGACAGACCACCTCAGCAACGGGTGGAAGGACAACCTACGACATGCACAGCAGGAAGATCCGGACATCAAGCCGATTCTGGGATGGATGAAGGCCCGTGCTACCAAGCCTAAGTGGAGGGACGTCTCAGCGATGAGTTCAACCACGAAAAGCTATTGGGCCCAATGGGACAGCTTGCTGATTCAGGATGGATTCCTGTGCCGTAAATGGGACAATGGTCGAAGAGACAGCTGTCGTTTGCAAATGGTTGTCCCTAAAGCTAAAGTGCCGAATGTTCTACAGTTATGCCATAATGGTCGTTCAAGAGTCCATCTGGGAGTTAAACGAACTCTACTGAAGGTCCGAGAACAGTTTTATTGGGTCCATTATCGTGACGATGTCGAGGATTGGTGTCGTACATGTACAAGTTGTGCGGCCGTGCGGGGACCTCGGACACGTAGTAGAGGAGCACCGAAATTGTACAATGTTGGTGCACCACGGGATAGGACAGCCCTTGACATTGCGGAGCCGTTACAGAAAGGCGCAAGAGGGACTCCTAAGATCGTCCATGTGAATCGCTTGGCGCGTTATTATGGGGCCGATAATGCTCGGGACGAGCATGTCTTAGGAGGGGGCAGTGTTACGCGCTCAAGTCGACGATACACTAGCGCCATCTAGTGTCAGGAACGAGAGCGAGGGGAGCATTGAGAAAATGACATCACAAATCACTCAACCGACAGCGCCTAGTCGAAACTCGAACGCTCGGTACCTTGCGCGTGTTTACTTGAACATTCTGGATATTTCTTTGCTAATTTAAATAAGTAGGCGCTGCAAGATGGGCCAAACGGCCAAGGGTTAGGAGGAAAGGGAAAGAAACGGGCGGACGATGCGGGCAGTATCAAGGAGCATCGCCTTCTGCATTTGAGCCCGGAGCGGTCCGTCACGGAGTCCCAGTCGCCTCAGATGACCAGAGAGGCTAACTGGGATTAGCCCATTTGCAGATACGACTACAGGAATAATTTCGGTCGGCATACCACCCCACATGTCGGTCACCTCGTGAGCCAGGTCCAGATACTTTGATTGCTTATCTGTTTCGGCTTTCACGAGGTTCTCGTCATATGGGATGGTAATGTGGACCAAAAATATCCTTGACTGCGCCCGGTCCATCAGCACAATATCAGGCTTATTCGCAAGAATAGTCCTGTCTGTGATGATGGCTCGGTCCCAGTAGAGCCTGGCGCGGTCATTTTCGAGCACGGCTTCCGGCAAGTACTTGTAATACGGCAATTTCCGGTCCACGAGACCGTATTTCAGAGCGAGCTCCTGGTGTAGAATTCTGGCTACTAGGTTGTGCCTGTGCAAGTACTCAGAGTTAGAAAGAGCCGAACAACCGGAGATGACATGCCTAAGTGACTCCTCGGGATGGCGACAAGCTCGACAAACGTCGACAGTGCCATCCTTTAGGATTTATCTCCGATAGTTGTTGGTCTTAATAACCTGATCCTGTATTGCACAGACAAAACCCTCGGTTTCCCCGAAGAGGTCACCGAAACGTAGCCAGTTGAGGGAGGCGACTGTATCTACGAAGGGCTCATGTAGAGCCCTGTAGTACCTCCCGTGGAGCTCTTTCTCCTTCCATACGGTCTTCCGGTCGGAAATGCTAAGCACTGCTGGTTCCTGCCATTGCTCTTTGACTAAGGATAGAGGGGTAAGTCCTTTATCACTAGAAATGACGTCATTATAGAATGGATCATCCGATCTCGCCAGGAAGTAATGACGAAAGCTGCACACTTCACGATTATGCATGGTGAGCGCGCTCAGAAAGCTACGCCCACCATGCTTTCGTGGCAAGTACAGCCTCATTACCGACGATCTCGGATGATGAATCCTATGGGACGTCATGGTAGTGCGGACTCTTCTATCCAGGGCGTTAAGTTCAGTCTGACTCTACCTGAGTATGCCAAAGGTATACATAAGAACAGGTTTGACCCAACCGTTATATGCGTGTGTCTTATTCACACCGGACAAAAGGCTATTAAGCACTTTGGTCAAGCGTCCATAAAACACGTCGCAAACTGACTGTTTCATACCAGCCTCATCGATACCGATGTTCTGTGACATACCCAGGTATCGGTATGGTTCAGCCTCGGAAAGGGTCCTTAAGTTGACGGGCATAGATAAATCTATGCCCTCAAAGTTAGCAACCCTTCCCCTTTCAACATGGAGGACCGCACACTTATCCGTCCCCAGCACCATTCTAATGGAATTGCTAAATTCACAAGTGATTTTTAGCAATTCCATAAGATGGGAGCGACTGGAGGCGAATTACTTGAGGTCATCCATATATATAAAAAAGGTGGGTCACTTTTGTTCCTCCTTTCCGTAGCTGAAATCCTCTCCCGGATCCCTCCAGTAAGGTACTGAGAGGGTTCAGGGAGAGGCAGAACCAGATTGGACTCAGAAAATCGCCCTGGAAGATACCCCTTCTTATCCTTATGTGGTTCTCCGCAGCCATCATCCGCTCACCCAGATGACAAAGGATTGTACTCCACTGCTCCATACACTGCTCGAGGAAGTCTCTCACTGTACAGTCTATCTTGTACAGCTCGAGGACTCTCTTTAGCTATGTATGGGGCACCGAGTCGAATGCCTTTCTGTAGTCTATCCAGGCGGCGGAGAAGTTCCGACGGTTGCGTTTCACCACTTTGCCAACGACCGCGTCAATGAGGAGTGGTTCTTTGGTTCCACGACCACCGCCTCGACATCCATTTTGAGTGCGTGACATCACCTGATTTAGCTCCAGGTGACGAGTGATTCTCGCGCTCAAAATGGATGTCAGTGTCTTATATATGGTGGGTAGACACGTAATGGGGCGGTATTTGCTCGGGTCTGTGGTAACCTGGTCTTTAGGAACCAAATGAGTGATCCCAGTAGTGAAGAGGCTAGGGAGCGACTTCTGGTTGAGAGCCTCTTGAAACTGTCGGGCGAGCACAGCGTGACACACTATGAACCCCTTCAGCCAGTAATGATGCAGCCCATTGAGCCCCGGACTATTCCAGTTCGGGGCCCTACGGACCGCCTCAGCCAAGTCTTCCGCCGTATGTTGTTGGGGTCCATAGGCGTAACACTCGCATCCTGGCTCGTCACAACTTCCATCCAAGGGCATTCGCTGAGGTTTACGGGCTCTGACCACAGGCCACGCCAGAATGCGATAATGTCAGCCTGATCCGGTCCTTGGCCCGCTCCACATAACTTTGGTCGCTCCAATGATTTATAGAGCCTCTTCTGATCACTCTGGAAGAGACGATTCTGGTTGAACTGCCTTGACCTCTCGGTAAATCGTCGAATCCGCTTCCCCCAAGCAGCGATCTTTTGCTTCAGTTCGTCTATGCGCTCCGTTAGTTTCTGCGTGATATCCGGCTGGGACAAACTGATATTTGACCCAGCAAACGCCATCCTAACGGTGCGCATAATCCTCGGTCTATTATTACCCGACCTGAAGCTTGTCAGTCTGCCGATAAGGGCCCTTGCCTTTGCGATACGGTCCTCGATTCTTTTTCTCCAGTCTGGGATGGCGCTACTTTGTGTAGTAGCGCGTCCAGCCGTGGGAAGTTATTATTATTATTATTATTAGGAAGTGTTACTCTTTAAGTTCGCACCTATTTAGTCCGTACGTAAGCTAAGTTTCTTCAGAAAATAGTGAAAAATGTTTCCTTATGGCTGGGCTATCATTCAAAGAAGACACAATGAGGAACGGCAACGGTATGAGTACGAAATTTATATTGTTACGAGCTTGAGGTTCGTGACAATAAAAATTGCCGATAAAATTACCTAAATTAACACTTTAATTTACTTTACACAAATTAAAACTAAAAACACTAATAATTAAACACACTAATTCACTTAATTCCGCTCCGAAGCTTCGCTTGTGTCGCCGAGTTCAACTCTGCTCTCCGATCGCATCTTGCAGCGCCTACTTATTTAAATTAGCAAAGAAATATCCAGAATGTTCAAGTAAACACGCGCAAGGTACCGAGCGTTCGAGTTTCGACTAGGCGCTGTCGGTTGAGTGATTTGTGATGTCATTTTCTCAATGCTCCCCTCGCTCTCGTTCCTGACACTAGATGGCGCTAGTGTATCGTCGACTTGAGCGCGTAACACTGCCCCCTCCTAAGACATGCTCGTCCCGAGCATTATCGGCCCCATAATAACGCGCCAAGCGATTCACATGGACGATCTTAGGAGTCCCTCTTGCGCCTTTCTGTAACGGCTCCGCAATGTCAAGGGCTGTCCTATCCCGTGGTGCACCAACATTGTACAATTTCGGTGCTCCTCTACTACGTGTCCGAGGTCCCCGCACGGCCGCACAACTTGTACATGTACGACACCAATCCTCGACATCGTCACGATAATGGACCCAATAAAACTGTTCTCGGACCTTCAGTAGAGTTCGTTTAACTCCCAGATGGACTCTTGAACGACCATTATGGCATAACTGTAGAACATTCGGCACTTTAGCTTTAGGGACAACCATTTGCAAACGACAGCTGTCTCTTCGACCATTGTCCCATTTACGGCACAGGAATCCATCCTGAATCAGCAAGCTGTCCCATTGGGCCCAATAGCTTTTCGTGGTTGAACTCATCGCTGAGACGTCCCTCCACTTAGGCTTGGTAGAACGGGCCTTCATCCATCCCAGAATCGGCTTGATGTACGGATCTTCCTGCTGTGCATGTCGTAGGTTGTCCTTCCACCCGTTGCTGAGGTGGTCTGTCCTGAGCATCCTCACGGATACCACCTCCTTACTCTCTTGCCTACTACAATGGTTGCAATCTTCAGGACAAGGTCTTCTTGACAATGCATCTGCGTTGCCGTGAGATTTCCCGCTGCAGTGTCTGATAGTAAAGTCGTATTCCTGCTGCTGCTGGGCGGTGCTGTTAGCCGCACTTCCTTTCTGAGACCGTTCACCTTCCCTTCGTAGGGTGTGCTCAGGGCAGCTGGACCGAAGATGGCCCCTTTCCCCACAGCCATAGCACCTAGGGCTGTATCTTTTATTGTGGTCGCGAACCGTAACTGCTGTAACCCCCCTAGCGTGAGGTGAACGATGATCCTGTCGCCGCCAGGCAGTGTCGTTAGCTGCACTACCCTCTCGAGATCGATCAACTCTCCTTTCCACGGTTCGCTTAGGGCAGCTGATTCGAAGATGGCCTTTTTCCCCACAGCCATAGCACCTAGGGCTGTATCCTTTGTTGCGGTCGCGAACTGTTGAGTGATTTGTGATGTCATTTTCTCAATGCTCCCCTCGCTCTCGTTCCTGACACTAGATGGCGCTAGTGTATCGTCGACTTGAGGCGTAACAATATTATAGAAACTGCTTTTCTTGCATACCATAACCTAATTTTTTTCGTTGTAGGACTGCGAGAAGGATAGCGCATCGCCATATTCGGGACCATTCCAACCCTTTCGACGTGCCTGCAGAGGTTTTTACCAAATTATACAGGCTCTCCAAAAGAACTGCGCATTTTTTAGTGGAGTGTCTTCACCAGAATTTAAATCGACAAAGGCAGCACGGAATTCCTGTGCATATCAAAGTTTTGGCTTCACTCCATTTCTTTGGACATGGCGGCTACCAAACAATGGTTGGGCAGGGGCAGTATTTAGGTTTAAGTCAGCCATCTGAAAGCAAATGCTTACAAGAAGTTGCTGATGAAATTATAACTGTTTTATTGAACGGTATGGTGCTATTTCCAGAGACTGAAGAGGAAAGGGCAGAAAATAAACAGAGGTTTTTACAGATAGCTGGGTTTCCTTCAGTCTTGGGTTTGATAGACTGTAGTCAAATCTCCATTGTTCGCCCAAAAGACACAGCACTTGTGCCAGCGAGATTATTTTTTAATCGCAAAGGCTTTTATAGTCCTAATTGCCAATTTGTATGTAATGCAAAGATGGAAATTATTCATTTCAATGCCACTTTTCCTGGATCAACACATGATGCAGCAGTCTGGCAAGGATCCAGTTTGAGCCAATTATTGGAAACCAATTATGTTAACGGAGTTTAAACTGGTGAATGGCTTCTAGGAGACTCTGGATATGCCCAACTGCCTTGGCTGATGACCCCATATGCTGATGCGAATGAAAATACACCTGAGGCTAGATATAACTTAGCGCATACCAAAACGAGGGTTCTTATTGAAAAATGTTTTGGAGTGATGAAAACAAGATTTAGATGCATTCACAAGCACAGGATGTTGCATTATGACTCCGTGAAGGCATCTAAAATAATAGCAGCTGTAGTTGTTCTCCATAACGTGGCAATTAAGAGAAATGAACCTTTACCAGATGAATTGGAACTCGAAGACAGATTGCGGCCAGCAGATGATCCTCCCAGGGATATGAATTTTTTAAATGTGGCAAGAAATATTCGAAATAACATCACAAGACAATACTTTGCATGATGTGTTTTAATTAAAGATTTAATAATAAAACTACTAAATATAAAACTTAATTTCGAAAAAATAGTTTATTTATTTTTATTGATCGCTTCGACGAACATGGTAGCGGCACGCATTATGCAATCGCCAAGATACCGAGCGGCCTCTGTCTGCGCATTGGCGAGCGCCATCTGTGCTTGGGCTCCCTCCCTTAAAGCCACTATCATGGCATCTTCTTGTGGGGTGGCTGAATCGGCTGGCGGCACGAGCGTACGGGGCGTTGCTCGACGCGCGTTGTGGCGCTCAAGGCGCGGAGTGTTGCGCCCCACGCCGTCCTCCAGTCTCTGTTCAGGGGTTGAGGCCACGATGTGTTCACGACTGCAACTGATCGTCGCCAGATCCCTATTTGCCGCTGGCATCATCAACGCGTCTACCGCAATTTGACCAACGCGAGATGCTGTTGGTATTGATGACGCGTTCGTCGCCATTGAAGTGACGACAGTCGCCCCATCGTGACTCGCCGTCGGTGTAAACGCGTCCACCATAGCCGCTTCCTTCGGGGGCTCTTCTTCAGTGTCTGAATGTATATCCTGCATAGTACAATTACAAGGATAAATTCATACAATTGTACCACTATGAAGTCAATTTCAGAATACCATTATGCATAAAACTCTTTTTAACATGACTTCAGTATTTATTACTCATACCATTAATAATGCGGTTATTCTATAATTACCAAAATTGACCATAACGCTTAATGAAAACTACATCAAAATCTAATCAGTAGAACTCAAGTCATAACAAGGGCACTGTTTAAACTTATTTATAAAACTAACAAATTTTATTTATATGTATATAATAATGTTGTTGTGAATAGGTAAAATATACTCACAACTGTTACTGCGTCTAAAATCAACGTCTGCTTGGGCTTTGGCAGTTGAGTATCATCCAAAACCTGTAGTCAAAATAAAATCAACTTAACATCAGACTATTACTGGTAATAAATATCACGACTGCTACAAGCATTGCCATAACACACTCACCATGACTATGTTTTGTTTAACATAAGGATCCGGAACATCAACAATGGGCTGTGGAGTCCCTGGGACAATAATAATACCCTGTAAGAAATGTACAAGTCAAGGATCAAGGTTTTCCGTACATATTATAAAAGGACATCTTTATAATATTAATGCTATGTAATGTATGTAGTTTTCAAAATTAACACAATTGTGATGATTGATGCAATCATGAAAAAATAAGTAAATCTAATATAGAGCTTAAAAAAAACCAATGCCAATAACTTACAGCTTCCACAGCTCCAGGCAATCCATATATAGTTGATGTCCCCTCTATATTTATTGTTTTTTTCTCCAGTTCTGTCAAGCAGATATCTGCTGGAGGACCACCTCCAGTCCTTTGCATAGATGCACGCTGTGTGCGCATCTTAGCCTTCGCCCTGCGTGCTAATAACTTGTATGTCTGAAAAATTTAGATTATACATTTAACAACAACTAATATCCAAGTGGGTAAAGTAGGTTGGTTATGATTTAAATTTTAAAAGTTCACTGATATATTTAGTACAAAATTAGGACAATTTAATGTATGAAGCACCACTAACTAACCTCTTACCAATCTTTCTGTGTCTTACGAACACCTCCCATTCCATTGAGGGCTTCTGTCAGTTCAGTCCACAATCTTTTGGTAGCCGGTAACTGACAATTTTCTGTTGATAAATAAAGACAAATGAAGTATAGGTAAGTATGAAAACATCATGTTTTATTGGATGCCAATTATTTATATTATATGTTATGTTATAATTTAACGTGAATAAATGATTGTAAATGTAATACCAAACTGAATTTACAAAGGAATGCTTGTAGACAGGATAAGTTAGAGTGCAATTATATGATTATGATCAAATTTAAAATGAACTTGCTATTCTGTAAATAGATGGATGGATGAGTAGGGTAAATCGATAGATTAAAATATAACAATTTACACTACTAAAACAAAAATTCACATGAAATATTTTGTAAACATACCGTTAACCGTTTCCGGATTCCTCATCAAGAAGTTTAATAAATATTGTTGCTGTTCTTTCCTCATTCTTGGCTTCTTTGTATCCATATTTATTAAAATTTCAGTAATTCTTGCGAAAACTCACACAAAAAATAACCACGACAGACTTGACAACTTGACAGACTAGTGGTGTGGTGTTGCCATTTGCGGCGGCAAACGAACGTAATTATGTCCATTTCCATAGACGTAGAATTAAGTTCAAATTTAGTGACGTGAACTTATTTTAACAGAAACGTAATAGCTTTAGGTTAAGGATATGAGACATATTTATTAAAATTTTAGTCTGTTATTATTTAGGTTCGAAGAGAAACGCAATCGGACCCAATATGTATTTATTGACATACTTATCAAATATTCAAATCTTCAAAATAAGACATATTTTAACTTTGTTCACGCCGGGCCCAAACTTGTATGAAGTTCACCTCTTTTGCTGATTATTCCAGGAAAAGATGGTCACACTAGAGTTAATGATGTTTTAACGAACACAGGTATCTTCAGAAGACGTATGTACGTCTCACACGTTGACGCACAAGGGGGAGACTGTTGGCAACGCGAGATATACATATCATTGAGTATTTCATTGCTTCTTAAAGATTGAATAATAGAATTAATATTTTTTGTAGTAACTTAGAGTCATGCATTACATGGTAATCGGCTATGTAGTACGATTTAAGTAAAGAATTAAGAACATTTTATACGCTTTGAGGCGTTTTGATTAATGTTTACTTAATATTTTAATTACTGACATACCAGTAAAATGTTAGATAAGGACAGTTTAATGCTAGAGTGAAATGATGTTTATGTAGTATAAATATTAGAAGGGGATGAAAAAAGCCTCCTATAGGATCTGAGGATCGTTTGAAAGTGTCAGTTATGTTCTAAGTGGACTGTATATCTTCTTAGTTTCCTACTTATACGGTAGACACCGGTGAAATAGAACAGTAATACTACTCTGCTTTTCCTAATTTTTTTATTTAAAGCTATAAATTGTAATTGGGTCCGAACAAATTGAAATTTTTTTTTTGCGCCTGAAGCAAATATAGGCAACCCTCCGGAAAGCGGGGGAGAGAGGCGGTGAATGCTCATAGCATACCACGCAGCCGGCTGCGTGGTTATGTGGAGACTTTTACCCACTAAACACCGCCTTTATGGATTGGCTTACCGATCTGACGAGAGATCTCTAAGCCGTATACGGACGCGACCCTTCTTGGCCGAAAGGAGGGCGTAAGGCAGAAAAGAGGGCGCAAGACAGAAAGGAGAGCGCAAGCCTCTCAGCTCTCCGGCACATGCTTTTATACACGATAAAATGAACCCAACCCAGGTGATTCCACTCTTTTGATGGAAAAGTATTACAACACTCACGATAATATACCTATATCCAAGGCGAAAAGGCTTTATGCAGGTAGACATAAAGTTGCTTTTTGCTTGCATTAATAGTCCGAGCATTATCTATTTATATGCCTACATATTTCATTATTTGACAAAGGCCACTAACCCTTATTGTCGGGAACATTCTCGGCTGTCGTAACAAAATATAATCTTCAAGCCCAAATCCTCACTAAACCATATGAATAACTCCGGTTCCGATGTAGCGATATACTCCAACCTCGGATTGTGATAGTCACTAATTAGTTACTAAAACACATCTCTGACCTAAAATTAAAAACACTCTCAATTATTTTTTCCTTAATTCAATTATATTCATTGTGCAAAACTAATTTTGCGGATTTTATCATATAGAATTCGAGTAAATATAAGAAATAATTATCCAATAATTTAACGAAAAGGCTTCGACGGTCGACAAATGGCGTTACATTAAATAAATAACGCTAAACTAAATTCCACAGAGCTGTTTAGTAACAATTTACGTACTTAACCCCGGATAAATTTTTCAGGATTTACACTAGTAGGACTATTTTAATAATATTTACATCCAGCCTATTCTATTGCTTGATTCAAAATTTACTTTTGAATCAAGCAATTGAAAAATTGTGTAATGTAAAATAATCCAAATTTCGAAAATGTTGACAACATTTATTTTCTCTTATAACGAAAATTTATAGGTATAATATTTTAATAAAAAATCTTGAAACAACAAATTGTATGACACTAAGTTAAATATTATGTTTGAAATAAGTTTAGATTATAAAACTGTTTCTCCAAACATTGTTAACACTCGTATAAAATTGGATTGGACGTCTACCTTAATCATTGTGTTTTGTTTTAAGCATTATTTCGTGCCCAAATTATTAATTCCTTGTTAAATCATTCTTGCGAAAGAAAAAATAATTTTCGGTGGTGAACAATAAAAAATAAGTACAATTAATTCATTTATTTTTAACTCACTGTCATACAAAGAAGATTCAGAAAAAACAACTGAAATAATATAAAGTTCGCATTATAGGAGTTATCAACATCTGTATCAAAGTTTGTGAGTCTATGATATCTCATAAGCTAAGAGTTCGCTGTAAATTTCACTGTCCTGAGTTTGATCCCTGCCGGCACAATGAAATTGTTAATGACAATTTAAAGTGCTTTACCAGGTGCCCGGTACGTTAGTGAAGGAAACTATCGTGAAGTGCATGTCTAAGAAATAAAATATTTTGAGAATATGTTATGAAGTATGTGACATTTGTTTTCAAAACATTGGTACTTAATATAATTAAATGTGAAAATGCATTTTACCTTTTAAAATATTTTATATTATAGAAGACGTGTGACAAAAGAGTTCACAGTCTTTCTAATATGATTTAAGACTCAAAGTGCAGATGCGTTGTTACCCCTGAGGACTAAGATGGAATGCCTTGTTTCTAGTAAAAATGGTGTCCGGTTCATACAGAACCGGACACCATTTTTACTAGATGTATACAAGCTATACAAGCTATCATCGAAAGATAGCATTATTATGCTGCTATTTTACGCTGGTATTCTGTTAGAGTCGGATCCTTCCCCGGTCAAGCCAACCATTCGTGATACTACAGTAATGTAATTCTATAACATATAAAAGAATCATGATTAATCGAGAATTTAACCATACAAGGCACTCAGTATCATATGCGGGAAAACCATTTTTATGATTGCTACAAGCTCTATGAAATACAAGCAGCGACATCTTCTCGTTTTTAAGGGATTAACCGCAAATATAGCAATGATATAACGCAAACATTTGCGTATATATGTCGTTATTGATCCGATGATTGTCAGTAAACGGCGAAATTTATACTGAAGATTTGCGTTTGATGTTTGTGTAAATTTAATAAATAATAAAATACCGTTACATTAAGGTTTTGATCCGGAAAAAAATATAACATATTGCAAGAAAGTGTTTATTTTGCAGAGGTAAGTTAATTGATGGAATCAGTCGTTACTTTGCGGAAATCCATTATAATAAAAATAAAAATATTAATTAATTTGCAACCTTCCGTTAACTAAATACAATGATGTGTCTTACCTGGATTGAAGAGCACCTCCCGCCCTCCCTCAATTGCATGCACTAACTCCGTCACCACTAGTCCCAGCACCAATACTCCCAACACCTCTACTCCCGGCACCACTACTTCCAACACCACTATTCCAGGTAAGACCCACCATCGACGATCGATAAAACGACCCGTGTTTCACCTCTACACGAGACATCCGGAGGTGATATAGACTCTACGGCAGCTGACCGCTAAGCTGACGCTTACGCAACGAGATTGAGACAAGCACGCGGCTAGTCCCAATCTCGTTGCCGATTGTCTACAACTTTTGCTTGGTACCTCTCCAATGATTGATTAATTAGTGTTTGACTGAACCCCTCAAGCGCCACAAAAATTCCGTGCAGTCGCATGCGCCCGGCAAATCCCGAGCGCTCGCAAGCGATCGCACCCACCCACAGCACTTGAAACCTTTAAAACTTTTATTTAGAGATTACTTTTCTAAGAAGTAGTTTATCATTATAAAATCTATACAAAATTTTTCATCTTGTGGTCTAAACAAACGTCAGGTTTTACTTCATTACTAAAAGATTTTATTATATTTTGGTAACAATAATATACCAAGCGAATGTCGTCAGCTTAAAAATCACAATTATTTAAATATATATTACTCGAAATTATTTACGTAAAAAGATAAATTATATTCACACAAAAACTTTCATTACAATTTTATAGTAAAACACTATACTAAAACACTAATAAAACACTAGAAAAATCCGAAAATCAACACAATAACATTCACGCGAAAATGGCGTACAAAATTAACGTAGATTTTAAATAAATATTCATAGGATAACAGTTTTTTTATTGCACTAGAGGATGGAAGTATTTCATATTGATTATATAATGCCAAACTTCTTCACAGAAAAGTAGTCATATATATGTATATATATATATATATATATATCTAAGTTTTTATGGTTA